AATGTTGGAAGTATGTACCGTAACAATTAATTGATATACTAAAAATAAAATTTGGTAAACACATTATAAGCATTTTTATTTACATTTTATCAAATTACGTTCGTACTTTTTGTATTGAATGCGCGTCAAAACTGGCTACACTTAAATAATATTTGTAAGTTTTAGATGTTGTGGCGACAATGAACAGACAAGAAATAATGGATATTTAAAATAACATCACAGCTAATATTTTAAGTGTGGTCATATTACACATGTTACAAGAAACTGCAAAAGCACAGTTAAAATAACATCCGGGCTTTCCGAGAGGTACATACTTTTTTAATAAGATTTTATTTGAATTTAATAAACCAGAAAACGTACCATTCAATAATTGACGCCGTAGATCCTTGCGTCCTCGACAAACCATTAAGACCAAACATGTCACATTTTTTTATTTGTATTGTTACATCAGTGATTTGCCTGAATATCCAATATTGCACATTCGCTTTTATAGTATTGCATCCTTTTTGACATAACACTGTGCAAGTTGTCGCAATAGCCGATCATTGTTGTATATCTATTGTTGTATTACAGACATTTAGACTTCTAGGAGCTTATCGTGCGATATTGTTACATAGTGTTACAATAGCGTTAACATGCTTATAACAATGCGGGGTAGATGCAATGATTGACACCTGTCAATCAAGTTAATAGGAAACGCAGTGGTCTGTTTGGAGAACACACCCAGACATACAAGCAAATATAGACTCTGTATCAGCCAGCTACAATAAATGCTTGATATAACATTTACAAATCAATTAGCCTGTTATACCTGGGATCCTAGGTTATACTAAATCAGCGACTTAAAAGAGGCGTCCTTCGAGATAAGGTATATAAGGGTACCAGAATCCTAGGTGTAAGTTAGAGACCCAAATAGCATAGGTGTGTGTTAAGGTCTAACGAGGTTAGGTATACAGTCCCACAAAACGTGAGGCAAATGGTCGTTTATACATTCTGTATCAGAGTCTCACTTCATTTAAAACTTTTGATTGTATTCCAATGGATGGTACAGGCTATGGATCATACTATAGACTCTGAATAAGGTATAAGAAATTCAGGCACCTCCGATACCTCCCCCCTCCTTCTCATCCCTTAATTATGCTGCCTTTTTGAGTTTCATCCAAAGAATAAAATTCTTCAATAAAAGTTATAAAAATTCATATACCCCCATAATCTCACTCACCAATTTATATAATTATGCTGCTTTTTTGAGTCTCTTATGATAGTAAATAGAAATCAATCAAAAAAGCCACATATTGATTAGACATTGGGTCGTGATATAACCGACCAACCAATACTTACGCCTCTATCCATAAGTTTGACGGGAAGTTTGATAACCGAAAGTTTTTATCGGATAGCATATCGAACCCTGTCGTTCTGTTTCTGAATCACAATATTTTGATTGAGTTTTCATATTTGACCTTAATTATTTGACCCCGGAATTTGACCTTTCACGTGATACTCCATCGTGACCTTGGTTGACCTCTATGTGCCCTGTATCAGTTGCTTTCCAAGTATCCTATACTTTAATTTTTAATAAGTTATAATGATGTCTGTCCTAGGAGTCTGACAGACGGATTGAGCCAGACAGACATGCATAACTTTCAAGAAAGAAGTTATACTGTAATGGTAATTTGGCGTGACGGTCTTATCTTTTTGAACTTTTGAACGTTTATGTAAATACGCATGATTAATGCATGATTTATTGTAATTAAAACAATTAGTCATATTATGTGTCTCTAGATATCTAATACCTCACATTTGATCTTTGGCAACCATACGCCGGTCGTAGCTTCCCAAAATCGAGACAAATATGCAGCATGAGATATAGGGATAAGCAGTACGATGTAGATTTTCTGAATCGATTTTGGATCTATGGCCGACGTACGACCGCCGTAGAGCAAATATAGCCGAGGCTTAAATCATTAATACGTGCAAACTTGATCTTCATCCTAGGTACACTCAACGTCATAAGTTTGCGACTCAATGCTTAAAAATACTGATGATTTTATTAGATTACTCTGTTTAAAACTTTTGAAAAACAAAACTATTCCTTTGGCCAGAATTTTTGTATATAATTATGGGTAGACTTTGTTTTTATAAATTGTCAAGATTATCACCTAATCAAATCACAAGGCCTATTTATCCTACATTTGATTGTGACGACAATACTAAGTGACGAAGAGTTCAAAATAAGTTCAACATTCTTTTATGTGTTACAGTTTTGGGTAACAACCGATGTTATTTGCTTTTGTAAATCACCAATATTATCACCAATATTATCACCGATATTATCACCAATATTATCACCAATATTATCACTTATGTTCAGTTATGCTGAAAACAAATGTAATATTATCGTGTCACCTTATTGTACCATTAAAAAGAAATAAAAGAAATGGGTACATTTTGGAGTATGATACTCCGACGCCGTTTTTAATACCTTTTTCTCTTAGCGTTGTTGGACTTCAAACAGAAGTTACAGTTACACGCAAATGATATATCCATTGTATGGAGTAAGTAATTTTCTTTGGTATAGCGAAACATATGAGTAAAAAATTAATTGTGTGGGTTTTTTAGTGTTTCTATGCAAAATAGCACGTTCTGTCACAGCGGACAAATTTTTCGATACCAGCCTGTGATTCAGGACCATCACGAAATATCATGGCCTTCTTTTTGTTCCTTTCATATTTCTTGCTGAAAAACAGAGAGAAGTGATGCCTATCAGGATGATTCAGAATGTTGGCTTTGGTTTATTCAGAACGATTTATTTCTGAATATGTTTGAATTTTCCTTATAACGACAAGAAATGTTAGAGGCGGAGTCACTGATAGGAACTTAAAAAGACCACGTGCAGTATGGCAAGTGATTTTAGAGGGTCATATCTTTCACAATGAGTACTTTCTGGGCATAAATACAAGGTTTTTTATTAAAACAATATGTTTTCTTTCAAGTGAAGTACCCATGATAATAAAAATATCAATCGAACAATTCGAAAAATTTTGAATAGGGACCCCATGTCAACATTTTTTCAAAATATTGAACCTATTTACTCAAAAGAGGATCTCCCTTTTCTGATTTTTATTGCATGAAAAGATAATTCAACAAGGGGTCTAAAACATCTTGAAAAATATAATTGCATTGAAAGTCTAGTTTTGAGGATATCAATTTTCGATGACCAAAATGATGCTGAAAACAATGGATAGCACGAGTTTTCCCTATGGGAAAATAACATGGGATATGTGGTTTTTAACTTTAACGCATTTCAATACGCATCCCCTTTTCAGAAATTGTTCATATAGGTTAGAAGAAACTTTTTATATGTTTAAATTGAGAAAAGCAAGATCCTCTTTTTAGAAAATAAGCCTAACATTTTTTTTTAAATGCCAGGGTGGGGCCCTAATCCATAATTTTTCTGAGAGTTGGATTGATATTTTACTATCATGGGGACTTCACTTGAAAGAAAACATATTGTTTCAATAAAAACCATTGTTTTTATGGCCAGAAAGTACTCATGGTGAAAGATATGACTGTCTAAAATCACTTGCCATACTGCACGTGGTCCTTTGTGAGGAAATTTTAAATTGGTAAGGCACTTTGAGGAAGTATCATAAAACTTCATTTCTACCGTTTCTGTGAGTATATGATGGGTTCGACAATTTTCATATTTTCATGTAATTATATCATACACTCCCCTTCATAAGTTTACCAACCGGAGGTCCTATTTTGAATCACTTATCCAACCCTGTTCATCTTAGCCGATTTAAAAGATATCCTGCGCGTAGAGTCTAGTTATAAAGACGAAGCAGAGTCGAACGAATGCAAAGGGTATTTAAAAGATTTTATCAAAGTCATACTTTCCAAACTTTTGTTATTAAAGATTTACAAACAGACAGACTTTGATATGCTTTCCCATGAAAACTTCCGGTTATCAAACTTGTGGAGGGGAGTGTAATTTGTTATATATTGTTTATGTAAATTGTAAAGATTATCACCTAATCAATTCATACGAGACCAGTCACCTAATAATCCTTTTAAATTGTGACGACAATACTATGTTGAATACCCAGGGCATCCTTGCTGCAAGGGTATTGTCAAGTATATATTCAGTTTAACTTATAACGACCAAAACGATTCAAAAGTCGAGGTAATTTTTGAATCGGCGAGGCCAAACGAAAATGGCCCAAAATAGCCCTTAGGTTTTTTTTATCTTCCATCGATGAAGAGTTATCTTTCAAAGTAGTGTTTTACACCATAGCATATTTTGCATCGATGATGTAAATCATAATATGGTTGACGTGGTATTGAACTCCATTTATAGATTGAGGAAAAACAACCAAATATAGCATGGACCATCCTGGTGTCCACGAGAGAATAGTCTCTCTCGGTCGGTCAGAATGAATATATAAAGTATATAGGCCTCGTGGTATTTTTTGTGTATTTTACTATATTGTGACATTCATCTGTTCAGGAGACGAAAATACCTTCGAGGCTCTTCATCCCAGGATTTTTTTTAGACCAGGCTATTTTCGAGAAAGGAGATACATATCTTACTATCTTGCATTGTTTCATTCATGTGTATACCCTTTGCATTCGTTCGACTTCACTTCTTAAAAGAGAGCTTCGTCTTCGTTTATAACTAGACTCTGCGCGCAAGGTATCATGTGTAAAGTTTAAGATTTATTTCTAAATATACGTCATCGCTTGTGTTTCACCTATTCTTCATACTAATGCCCAAATCACGTGACTCTAAAAGTGATATATGATTGGTTAAATCTTTAGTAGAAGAAGATTAAATATGGGTCCAAATTTTGATTTTTGATTTCAATTATCTACACTATTGGTATTGGTATAAAGAGAGATGGCATAACGGTTGAAAGTGTGACAGAAAACAGTCAAACTAGTCTATTTTAAACATATATTCAATTTCTGAAAATGGACTTAAATAACAAACACAACTCCATTGCTTGTATTTACTATTCTTAATTTATTAATTAACTTAATATTCAGTTTTATCACGATCAGGTCGTCCAATCCATTTATATGTTTCAAGTAGGCGTTTATGGTAAAGACATAATAGTTATGAATAGAGGTAAAAATGTAGAGAACATACGTGTTAATATCAGTTCAGATGAGATGGAACATTAAACAATTTAACATAATTGTATTACATAACAAAAAATAAACAATCGACCAAGTCCAAGTAAGTTTCCATAGTAACGATTTCAAGTATATTAACTAACAATATAAATACGAAAGAAATATGAGAATAAGTTATGAATAAATATACAATCTCGCTAATAGATGTCATGATAGTCATTCTTTCTACATTTTAAGAAGCAACGGAGCTAGCTTATCGTGAATATCATATTAGTATCTAACATTCAACAGACATCTTTATAACAAAGTAACTATTTTAATAGTAAATGCGTACATACAATATGTATGTACTTATTACATTAGAATAACCAACTGATATAAAATGTTAAACCTGGCATCATAAATTCTATCTCCTAATAAGTGTATGTAATGATGTAAAAGGTTTTCACAAATGCGTTTAAAGTATTGCAAATGTCACTTCTCATTTATGATTTTTAGACCATTCAAGTGTAAAATTTAGCAATGATATTTGCACAGAGTAATATTTGTTAAATATGCATCTCTTTCTTACTAATTTTAAATAAATTAACAATTAAAAGGTATATATTACATGGTCCTACATATTATAGTGGCTGATTTGAGATTTGGATCCATAGGGCCAAAATTACACCTGAACCCTGTATTGGGGTTTAACTATAAAGTAAGACATAATCTTACATAGAAAATATATACAGATATTAGTATAATTTACATAACACTATATCGATTTATATACATTACACTGTGTACATATATACAAAAAAACTATATCTATCCGTCTGAAAGATAGTTTGGACTAGAATTGAAAGCACCTATACATAATTTGTAAAACTTAATCAACAACTGAGGTGAACTATTTTTCGTGTGCCATACGAGGTCGTCTATCGAGACCGTTCACCATGAGTTCAATATGGCGCAATTGGCTAGCGGTGGAGTGAGTTGGGGGTAAATTGGGGCTTATTCTGCTTGGAGAATTTGGGTTGGTTGCAACTGGAGGAGAATGCAAGGAATGGAGGCTGTTGGGAGAGCCGGGACTAGAGGCACTTAGCCGCCTTGATGCACCGCCATGCACGATCCTGCCATTGTTACCAGAGGCAGCTAGGGGAGTACTAGTGGTCACCATGGTTGTTTTTGTATGTGGGAGGCCGTATGGATTGAATCTATTGGCACTATTCCGTGAGGCTAGAAGCTGCGACATGTGACCGTTATGCATATGTGCAGCGGAAACATTTTCTAAAGAATGGGGGAGGGAATAATTTTGATGTAACAATGGATGCAGTGCTGCCATCTGGCTACTGAGAAGGAAATTAGGGTGAATTGAGTTTCCTGAGCTGTGGCTGACGGTTGCTAGGTGACCCATATCAGCACCGGGGTGTGGAAGGAATGGCAAAGGTAGTGAGGTTTGAGGCATACCCGCTAAAGCATTTTGACCCAGCATCATATGCCCCATATGGAACGGTAAACTGGGACTTGCACCATAAAGTCCATTTTGATAAAGATAGGAGAACATTGGGTGATTTAATGAGGGTTGTATGACTGTTACATTGGGAGGACTAGTGTGTTCTTTTGATCCTCGACTAGTATCTGGTCTTATTGCTGTTCTAGAATCATCCTTATGATCTCTAACAGTGTCCAATTTATCTTTATCATTGCCTGTTGTTTCCGAATGTTCTGAACTAGATCGCTTTCTTTCATGGCTTTCAACTGTAGTATTTGACATTATTGTTTGTCTTCCTTGACTGTGGCTAAGATCTGCCATTGTCGGAAAATGTTCGATAATAGGGGTGTGTAGATGTCTAATTTCTGCAGATTTCGAGGGACTAGTTATAGAGGGAGATTTGGCTGGTACTGAGGGGCTATTGTCATTGTCTTTTTCAGTGTTCTCTTTAGCGTTATCAACATCGTCATCATTGTTCCTGACGTCATCAGATGTGTCCTCAATTATACTTTTGATGCTGTAATTACTATGGCTACGCTGAGTTGTTGCAGTTTTTTCACTAGATTCATTTTCGTCTGAAATCAAAAAATACGAAGTAATTTTAATACGGAGCTTTTAATGCCGAAGCCTCAATGATTAAAGGGCGGTCGAATCATCGAGGGTCTCTTGTCTTTAAGGAAGTAAATCAACCGAAATTAAGTTTACAAGATCATTTTAGTCTATTGTCGTTCACTTGGCGGATTGATACATATTCAATAGTTCTTACGGGTTGAAGTGGCCATAATAACACGAGTGGGACATTTGAATAGTTCCTAAAATAAGCTCAACCTAGTCCAATTATACGGGAATTAGGTATAAAACTTTTGACGCCAATCTTTGCTAAACGTTGTCTGAATTTGCCACTTGATAGATGACATACAGAATAGACATTATTAGAGAACGTATCCCAGTTTAATTACCTTTGATTGGCGGAGTAATATGTGGAGTTATTTGTGGAACGTTTATTGGAGTTGACATCACTTCGGGCGGATTGCTTTCCTCTGGTCTGTCATCCACACATATTTCCATATCTTCTTCATCGTCACTATTGTCATTTTCACTGTCATGGATATCACTGTGGTCGTCATGGTTACTGTTGTCATGGTAGTCACTACACCCTGGCGACATACTGGGGCCGGATTTTCCGTCAGAACTGGCTACAGATTGTGCGTTGCTCGATGGCCCGAGTATAAGACGTCTGCAAATAGAAAATCGGCATTCATTAAAAAGTGTGCTTGATTACCATAAACGGACCGCATAAACAATTTGAAATTATTACAGATGAATTTGTAGTTTGTTGTTTAAAAGGTTAAAACGACAGACCTCCATCCAGACAGAAGGTGAATCAAATTCCATGTCTTAGCCTTAATGTTCCCTAATCCGTCTATTGAGAACAATAAACATCAAAGTCGAATTTAGTGATAAATGCAAACTAGAATCACGAAGCAAATCAACAAACAAACTTTTACAAAGACTACTAATACGGTAAAACTCTCAAGTGGTAAACCTATCCAAGTTTGTGTACAAATCTCTGAGTATTGGCGACTTCCACAGATCCGAATACTTTGGCCTTCCCTTGCCAAATCTACCCAAAGTAGGTGGTCAATCTGTGTACAATACCATCAATACTGACCGAACTAATGTGATGATTTCAATATTGTGAAAAATTCCCGGGGTTCTGTTTTATTAATTTATTTACTCTGTAATATGGTCTTATTACGATTTCACGATTTAAAATGCAAGGGAATGAGTGACTCTCTCTAGTAAACTATTATAATTGTAATCCTATAAACATACTTTACAACAAAAACTTTTCACAAAGTCAACCCCTTTAATATAGTAGTTCAGTGTAAAATGTCAACCATTTACAGAAGCTGACTGTCGCCTCGGGGCAATCCATCTGTGTACTATAAAGTATATATTCTGTCGAGGGTTATTGTTTTTAGTAAAGTATTTGATCGAACACATTCTAAGAGTTAGAGCACATTTTCAAGAGTTTTGGTATTAAATATCCGCCAATAGAAAGCAACCTTCGATACCTAGCTAAAAGAATAACATTTATGTTAAGTATTAGGCGAAATGTCTATGATTTCTGACAGGCTTGGATTTCAAGTTAAAGACGGTGTAAACTATAAACTTTGATTTCTATGTTGTTGTTAAATCATCGGCGACGTTTTAGAAATTATTGCCTCGTTATTGCAAAATCTCTCAAAGATGTTGCGTTATTTTAAGAATGTGGTTAAAACGTCGTTTGATAAAATGCCCAAAATCAGAGAGATTTTCTTAGGCTTATTCGTCACACGAAGTTAAGAAAGATATCAAATTTCCAAGATAGGCTATATCCTTATGCGATTCTTTTAAATCCCTGTTAAGATTCAATTGAATTAACGTCAAAATTGTGTTTTTCCAGACACCACACTTGACGGTAATTCTCGTTGATTTACGCTTAAGGTACGAGTGCTCATAAAGGCTATAGATTTATTTTACAAATTGATAAATTCGTTATAAGCTCGTAAATCGCATTTGAGACTAAGTCGTTAGACGCCAGGAATCTCTAAAAACCTCTAATTTCATTCATTTTTGCTCTTTTCAACATTTGGCTAATATCATCAGTGATCCTTTCTTAGTTCATTTGCGGCCATATTGAAACGTCATCGAAATTGACACTATTTTCGGGAAATATTACTCCGCGGTGATTGCTTATTATCCTCTTCATTCATCTTTCAATAGGCATCTCTAATTTATTTGTCCAATTAGGATATTACACAACAATTGTTAATACGACAAAAGTGTTACCCTTATTGAAGGTTAGAGGTAATTACAGACCACGGTGTTTAAGTGAATGGTAAATGGTCAACAGGGACAAAAAATCCTAATCGCAATCGTATTAGCGCAAGAAAACAAGCAATTGTACAGAAAAGGCTCTCGTGATGTAATGTTATTACTCGATCTGAATTCACGAAATAAGCTAAGAGCTCAACTACTACTTGACTTTTCGAGTGGTCCAATGAAATGACAATCGCGTTAGTTGGGTACAATGAAAGCTTGCGTTCTTATGAAGTGTCTGGATTACCATTTTCCATGGCGGTGGTTATACGATATGCTCGTAATAGAGCAATCACGGCCAAAAAGATAGTGTTTTGAACAAAATATAAATAGAACTAATGATTGACAATCTATTATTAGGATCGATATATGATCATTGTAATTATTCAACTGGCCACGTTGTTTCTGCTTTGCTAACATTATTTACTTAAAGTATGTTTGTAAACGATTCACTATCATTGAAATGTCTGGAGGTACTGTGCAATGTGGTTGAACATGTTCACAAATATGGTATACATATTGATCGTAGAGTTGATATCTACATCCGCATCAAAAATATGTATTTTAATAATAAACTTACTTTTTCTCACGTTTCCCTGTCCCAGTGTCTCTAAATCCTTTGGCAAATGGGTTGTAGTCAATTTTCAATTGGGTCACCTAAAAATAAAAACAAAAATGATTATCAATATTATTTGTTGAGGAAACACTGTTGATAAGTATTAGGTCTTACTAAAAATTATGTTTCTCTGCACTATAGACTATAGGATTTTCAATTATATTTTGCGGTTATGTATGACACCAATAAAATAATGGATTATATATTTAACTAATTATATATTCAATATGTTTTATTAATTATATGTGGTATATTTTCTCTATGTTATGTATAGTTCGATATCTGAAGTCAAATAGCGGATGTTTAATGGTGCATTTGATACTGAAAAACACAGAAACTTCGTACAAAAATCTGAGTCCCGAGGGAGAGCTAACTTAATAATCCATTGAACACATGTTCGACTAATTTGTTAAATTATTTCTTTATTGGTGAATTTTCACAATAATTGTGATTTTTCTAGACCTGTGCCTTATATTTGCCACTAGGGACTGCCAAATGTAAAAATTACTATGCCAAACTGACAATTTTTTCTCATCCGTTTAGACATTTGATTTGAGTAAAGAAGCGAAACTTCGTCGTAATTACGTGACCTCTGATCCAAACTTGGAAATATTAATTCAGTGGAAAAATGGATTGGACACCTTACACGTATTATAGGATTTTCTCTGACACGATGTTAAAACCAAGTCCTAAATAAATACTGTCGTTTCGTTTGACCTTTGCCATCCACCACTCCTAAACTTATCAAAAATCAAGTAATTTTGCAGACGAACAGATTCTGTTACTCCGTGGCAGGGTTCTAATCAAATGTAATCGAATTTAGGGATAAATTTTAGCAAAAAAGAACACTCCATTCATCTTTACAATGTAATATATGTCGCTGAATATTATATTAATTACATCTGGATAATGTCGGATATAATACACAAGAGCCCGCTCAGAATTGACGCTATTGCAGTCAAACAGAAAGATAACGACAACCGTAAATCAGTCTCTTATTAGACGTCAAGTAAAATAAGTGTTACAAACAACACTCAAGGCACCAAAAAGATGAAAAGGCAAGATAGAAACAACCAAAGTAGCCACAAAATTGTCCGCCACTTAATCAAATGAGCGTCGAACGCCCGTAACATTATTAACACGGCTGCTAATGGAGTAGAAATTACAGTAAAGCCATTTCCGATGTCGGAATCACTGGCGCTATATTCAGAGGCAAATAGAAAATATCAATTCAGAAGCATATTCGTCAATATTTGAAAACAAATCAAAGTTTATGACCAGAAACCTAAAGTGCCCACATTACAACAAAAATACATAAAATCTTGTAGATTGACAGACGGAAACCAATGATCAAAAAAAATACTCTAGACATTTGTCAAATCTCTAGACATTAACTCATCAATTTATTGTGGTCATATAGCAAACCAAAAGCGTTTGAAAAAACGCAAAGGGCAACAGTTGTAAGCTGTATACATTAACTCCCCTACCTTTTCATTTTGATAGGCGGTCACTGCAATGAACGATGTTTCCTTGAAAACGTATGTTCTGAATTGGCTGTATGGCAACTTCAAAATGTCGTTCGCTCTCACCAGGTGGAACCGTGGTTGGTATTTGTGCATCGAATTCAGGATGGTCTGCTAATAAAAAGATTCAGTTAGTTGTGTGCTATTACAATTTTCAGTAGTGTTCGTATTCAGGATCGTCTGCTAATAAAACATTCAGTAAGTGTTCGTATTCAGGATCGTCTGCCGATAAAAATATTCAGTAAGTGTTCGTATTCAGGATCGTCTGCTAATAAAACATTCAGTTAGTGTTCGTATTCAAGATCGTCTGCTAATAAAAAATATCCAGTAAGTGTTCGTATTCAGGATCGTCTGCTAATAAAAAATATTCATTAAGTGTTCGTATTTAGGATCGTCTGCTAATAAAAATATTCAGTTAATGATTTGTTAAAATATCATATTGACAGTACAGTCCGGCACAAAGCCCCATTAAAATATAGCTCATAACTGCATCATGATACTGAATAAAAGTGACGCTTTATGTTTAGATTTTATGGAGTTTTGCATTGGACTGAATTTAATATACATAATACAAATGATGGACTTTTCGGGTATACTGGTGTACTCCTTTAGACATATGAAACACCTTGATGGATGCTTTTAAGACAATTTACGTTTGGCAACTTGGGAAAATCAACGATTTTTCACAAATATACTATGGAGCTATTGTCTATGGAAAACACAACCCATGCTACTATAATCATAACAGCAATAGTGAGATGAGGGTTTATTCAGACGTTATAGTTGTTATTTAATGAAGCAGAAATTAGATTACTCCCGGGGGAGAACTCGGTATCAAATGTACCTCTCTCCCCCGTACCTCAATCCAATAGGAAATCCACATCTTTGTAGCTAATGCCACGCGCGAAACACATTACCCCATCAATGTGTGTTTTGCTAATCGTTTGTATACAAAGCATTACAATGTTGTGTGTATTAAGCCTAGTTTTGTATTCAATATTAAACGGTACTGTCACTTTAAGGGGCTATGAGTGTTAATTTCGTCGAATATACTGTCACCAAAAATGACGTATTGATACAAGGGTTAGTCATCAAACACTAAAAATATACCTTCTGATTTTTTGGACAAACTGAATTAAGTTTTTGATCAATTTTATTTGAATTATAAACGACATGACGACACTTTAGCACACACTATACACCTCGTGGTAGCCTAAATATACACGTGTAAAGCTCGATCAAACTTTTAAATCACTGGGATTTGACTGAAAAAAGTCGGAGAATGGTACAGGAGAGTATGACAAAATGAAAGTGACAATTAAAAATCATCTTTCGAACATTGATCATGTTTTAGATCATTATATTGTATAAGCATGATTCACCGAGTCCCTCTTTATATAACTTGGCGAGAGCATCAATATTCAAGAAATAGATGTGGAAATCAAAATGAAAAACAGGTGATATCAAAGATATCCCAAAAGAGATACAAGTAATAGCACCATGGTGACCAAATACAGAGAGCAACAAGACATCATATTAAAAAATACCCTGACAAAGACACCAAAATCAGTTCAATTTAGGTGTATGATAATCTCCGGTCAGTACATTATCGATCAATTATATATCAATTTATAATAGCAATCATGATCTATTTAGTCTGACTTCTGTGTCGTATTTGCTCGCCCCTTTGTTACCGCCATTAATTAAACAAAATAAAAGTTGTCACTCGTTGTTAAAATCTTGAAGTATATTTGACAAGGTTTCGTAAAGAGATTGCGCTCTTTATTTCAAACGTAATTAAAGTGCTATTAAGTATTCAGAAAGCCGTTAATTATCGTTTAAAAAGATTTGACACTTCACTTTCTTAAGGGCATAATATTTCACAGATTTAGTATGAAAACAATTTTTAGCATTTCCAAGTAGTTTTCCATTGATTTAAGGCTACAAATTTCACATTAAAGACAAAGTACTTCACAAACCATTATGCCATAGTATTTCTTATCTTAAGAGAAAACTAAGAACTCTATCATTTGCCAGAACCCTACTTATGTTTTATTTGACTAAAATTGTCGCTCGTGTTTTCATCTATTTTATTGATAGTAAAACGTGCATTTTGTCTTCATGGCGAATTCATCATATAGGCCTATTCCAAGGTACATTTCTAGTCATTTAGTTAGGTAATATGCTTCGGTAACAGATGATTTTGAGCTGGTTTTTATACTTGGCTAATCTTTTTTATCGTTGAAATATGGTAATAAAATACAGAAGCATGTAAAACTTGATAATATTCACAGGTATTTAATGAAATTGAGTGATGGCGAGCGGAGAACGCTGAATATTTTATGAGTCTAACACAATCTGAAAAGACGCTTGGCGCCAACGTTCCTGTGACGTCACATTCATAGAAATGTCCTAATGAAGCATTTTACACCTATCAGCGAGGGATCGATCATTTATAATGATAGAAATCGTTCAATACAATAGACTAGATGTTATAGGAATTGATCAACCCGTCTATTTAAGATCCCAGACATTGAATAAAATGACAAATATCTCTCAGAGTTCACCTCACATGGCGACAAGAGTTGTGAGCGTAAAATTTTGATATCTTAGAGAAAAACATTTTTTAAATGTTCAGTCCCGCTATTGACAGGCTTACAATAAAATTGACATGAATGGCGCAGTTAATCACGAGGTTCGGAAACACCGGCGGCCCTAGTATATTCTCGGGCTATTTTCTCTCACCATTGCACAATAAATTATGCTATTCATGCCTATTATTGAAAAATATTGTCTCACTTTGGACGTTTTCATTGTTCAAATAGAACTTGTTGATTGAAAATTAATAAACTTGTCTCTCTTTTGCAGCCATAAATCTCGAAGAAACTTCGCCGGTTATGTATAAGGAAGCAGTCCGCCGACATTGAAATAGCTTTATTCCTAAGAGAGATTTTTCATCCAAATTATTTTATGAGATAAACCTGGAAAATGTAAAAGAGAAAAAATGATGCCGAGACTGAAAAATCTAATCGTCTGCTAACGTTAAGTTCTGGAGTATGTGGTAGAAGTTCAGAAACGCTTGATTTGACAGTTGCTGCCGCCAGAGCGCAAATCTTAACCATCTAGGTGCCTCTGCGGTGTGGCAAACCACTCTCTGTCAATTGTTATAAGTCAACAGCTTAACACAAGCAGAAAATTAAAAGATCGAGGCATATAGAAAACAGGAGTATCCCTCAGAGAGGACCTTCTGTAACACGAAAGATAAACTAGGTGCTTTGGTCAAAATGACGGCTGCAGCGCACCACAAGATTACTTGCCATTGTACCATACAAGAGCCAACTCACAAGGGTCTTTAGAAGGAGAGAATCCTCTAATAACTTCTTAATGAATCTTAATTACTTTTACTCTAACAGATCAGTGGAAATCAAAGACCCTATAGGATTTTCACCATCGTTTGACAGCTTAGTTCAGAGTCAAAATTCCGCGAGAAAATTACTCTCATTGTGTGTCTATTATCTGCCATTTGCCAATTCTGCTCTGCGGCCAATTTGTGCATTTTCACAGTAATAGTGTTTAGTTAGATTACACAAATTGAAAAATGTGTTTGCCATGAATTTTTGTTCACTTTACAACGGGAAATAGTTAAAAATACCCAGGTCTTTAATAGGATTTTTTATTATATAGATTCCGTTATACTTCCAAATTATTTATACAAATGATAGGCAACGCAAGTGTGAAGTTCATAGTTCCAACATTGACTCGAGTTACTTTGACTTACAGTCCAGTCAAAATAAATCGCATCGCTGAAAAAACACTTCATCTAAAGGAAAAACCATCAACTTTTGGATGGAGGAATTTTAATAATTATATCAATAGTTGATGCAAACCAAATGTCCAGTAAAGTAAGATATAACATTGTGAGATCTGGGAGAGAGTCCTCTATGGGTATGTTTGGTCCAAAAATTGGTGTATGTCAAAATATTTATAGCCTAACGAATATAGATAAGGCAATGAAAATCACAGCAGGTAGTAAGGATGTAATGGGATATGATCAGTGTCATAACGTGAGGGGTCATAACTGATAATAGAAACGATTAGCATCTCAGTGGATCTATCTATTCATCCCCAGAAGAGTCTCAATCATGCTATAATCACTTCTGTAATGAGGTTAATAAATATATCATCGATATAATGCCATGACTTGGCTTTTCGCGTTGATACATTTATTGATATCAGAGTCTGACTTTATTCCAAGGGAGAGTACGGGCCGTGAATGCCACAATGCTTTTATATGCTGGTTGAAGATTTTTTGTGTATTCTACAATGCGATGCGGCTCCACATAAAATAGATAATGTAAGCATAACAACGAAATTACAATGTCTGATATGTGTGCTTAGCCCGTCAGCTTCCCGATATCGCGATAGATACATCATATCCAAAGCCAAATCCTTACATGTAGGCAATACATTAAAGTGGAAATGCATACATATATTTTACATCCAAGTTATAAGTAATTCAGATAGCATCTCATGTAAACTATGTCACAAAACATCATACGTAGGTGAACACAAAATCATAGGCTTTAGTCCAAACATAGACCCTAAAGATACTAAGAAGGCGACAGAGAGGAGACATACGAAAACCGTGTGACGGATGTTCACGGATGTTCATTTAGTACTAGACTGGAAAGAATGTAAGAGATGGGGGGTGTCTATCATGGGCTAATGAATGATGGTGAGACGTTTTGGTGTCAAGGATACTTCAAAGTCCCTCAGACATGAATACTATCGATAGTAGGGAGATCGGGGCCTGATAATGAGGCGCAATATGCTAGTGTCACGCTTTCCATTGTCTAAAATGACCATGAGTAGACTCAATGATATTCATTATAGTAATAACCGTGATACTATGTCAATGGGCTGCATTGTGCCAGCCTGATAACACTGATGGGCTATATTTATTTCATAGGGTCATTTTGTTTTATCGATAATATTTCAATCGAAAGATAGTATCTCAATTTCAAATTTTGTTCTCGGCTCATAAAGGTATCATCACCTGGCACGGCATTGTGCGAAATGATGCCTTTTGATACCCCCGTCGCCAATGTCCGGGTTTTTCGTTCAGTGCGTTTGCGTCACATTAGGGACCCATTGAATGGAACTGTTTTGAAAACGCCCCGACTCAACACCAGATCGGAATATTGATTTCAAATTCGATTTCCGACTTTCGTATCGACAAAAATATTGCATGCGAGAAAATACTTAGTTTATAAATTACACTAAAAGCAAAATTAAGCTAATTTCCCTTTCACTTTGATAAATATTTAATGATGATCAAGCAAAGGCTAAACAGGATGGTATGCACATCAATGCAGATTAACGCGCTAGAATGGATAAATCACATGAACCCAATATAATCCGACACGCATTGGACTTCAACCATTACATCAAGTTTTCAATTGTTTTTCACCAAGCCCCTTTGTCCCATATCCCTCCCCAACAGATACGAAAATATACATGGCGACAATGATCAGCGACTTGACGGCAGACGATAACTCCAAAGACCCGGATGTTGAGTTATTTAAGGTGGGTAAGTCTCATGATCGGTCAATCATGGATAATGATATAAAAGCGAAGGCGACAGCAAAGCATTAGATACTTGCACATTCGTGTTATTTTACTCATGTGAGAAAGAAGTTGATTAAGCGAAAGCTGAGTAGCAAAGTATCGCCTTCTTACTATTAATTTACAAGAAAATGCTGTTAACTCGAGAAGATTTGCTTTTATCTTATTTGATCAAGCGAATATGATTTAATTGTGTTGATTAGACAAGTCCGTAGTTTTCACGCATGGCTGTACTATTAAACTGGTATTTCTTGTGCGCAAGGGTCACATTGTATAACACGTTACTTTCCATGAACGAAATGAACAACAACACCAGTGTACGTCTGAGCCATTTGTTTTCGTCTCAGCCACTAGAGCCACAAGGTCTATGACAAATATACCCCGAAGCGATTTCGGTATTGGGAATTGACAAAATGTGACATTTGAGATTTGCCTTTTGAGACCAATTTCAACAAGATTACACAATAAAATGTTTTTAAAAAATCAGAAAGGTCCAACGAGCATTGAGCGCTGAAAAGACACCGATCATGAGGGGTTAAGTGGCTTCTAGTGTTCCAAGTATGTAACTTAGCACTTATTTGCGTGTTGAACACCAAAGCCTGTTTGGTTCAGAATTCAAATAAAACGTCCCTAACCATTTTTCTACAATGCAAACAGGTTTCTGTATTACACACAAAAACCCTCGAAAAGTCGTCTCTTTCAACGATAATGTGCTTTTAAAAGAAAGTTTAATAGCCTCCGGGGGTATTGATTTGATACAAAAGTGTGTTTAGATAAAACTGTGTATTTTTACCTTGAGATAACAGCTTTACCCCTCAAGGAGCCAGTGAGTGTTGGGTATCCGCCTGAACCAATGTTTCTGGCTCGAGCATTACAAGTTTATAAACTAATTTCAAAGGCAAACACCTTCATAACGTAAATTGTTTGGGTTGTCTTGACTAGGCCCTCACACTTGGTGAAAACAGCCAGCTCTGGGAATATCGCTGATTTTAGCAAGTTCCTTTGATATTTTATACTACTTGTATATAGTTGTGTTTTTAGAGAAACTTTATACCATCAACAAACTACAACATAAACTATATAATGTTAACTCACTTGTGATAGACCTAACTTTGATCATTTATACATTTGCTTTTATAATTGTATATATATAGTCTACCAGTATTCTCGCATCAAGCCTCTGCTTCCCAATGTTTATTTCTCCCACGTTGCTTACATCAACTATTCTTGCATCAAATTTCTGGTCACTCCCCCGCTTTGTAGAACAACTGAGGCAGGGACGCGCGGAATGATACAAGACTAAAGTCGCGAGGTTATACAGGGGCTTGATGCGAGACTACTTTACGTATATCCGGTAAGTGTGAAATACTTACAAAGCCGTGTTTGTCTGAGATATTATTCGTCAGCTTCAGTTTGTGGAATGACACTAATTTGGACATCCATTGTTCTCCGCTACTTGGAGAATCGGGATGAATATACATTCGTTTCGGCATTTCTGGGTCAGCTTTTCCGGCGACCATCCATCGGCTGTTGTGAAATTTATATCGACAATCGTCAACAGCGACCAAGTCCATTAGGAGTATATATTTGGCTTTTTTGTCAAGTCCAGATAATTTAACTTTGTATGCGGGAAACATTCGCCTGGAAGCACAGTAATTAAAACATATAGATATGACGACACTAATGTATTAGGACAGTTTTATGCAATAACGGGTGGAGTAATTATTAGCCGTTTAGAACAATAAATTATAACGGCTGACATGTGGAAACTCACTATATAAATTCATCATATATTTCTTGTAAAATTGTTAAAAAGTATATATCTCGAGTAAATTTAATTGAACATCTTGGGTCTATCAAGGTGTTTCATATTTTTGATCACTGAAGGATCGCATTAGTTTAACAGAATCTTTCTTCAAAAATTTAGACTTCTTGACTAAAATTATTGATAGAAAATTAGTGTACAAGTAACGGGGATTTTTTTACCCAAAGGAATATTTAGTATCACCATCGTGAAATCAACCAATTTCTTTATTTTATTAGGATGCATTTTTCAACAGTTTACGTTAATCAGTTGAAACTGTCGTAAACCAACATGAGCAAGTTGGGTATCATTTGTCCATATAATTTGTAGTGATAATGTATATTCCTTAGGGAGAAGACAAGCTTCTAAGTTGAAGTTAATACGGGAAATGTGTGAAATCTGCAGATCCGATCAAGGGTATCATATTGTAGGCGCCCTAGGAGTTCCCATTGCTTGTTGTTTTTAGCAATCAGACGGAAACTACACAAAATAACAGAGTTGTGGCCTTCGATGATTGTGGCTTTGGCAAAACTTGTCATTTGCAGTATTTATATCTTTATATTTGTGTTAGCTTCGGGGATTTATGTCCCGTTTATGGTGTACACCAAGGACTGATAGCATCAGCGAGTCACTTGTGGGATCATTTAAAATCTTTATCAGCAAAGTATGTTTTGGCATTTTTCCTTCACACAATATTCCGTTCAACCTTTTCACAACTTCTACTTGAAGCTACTAGATAGAACAAAATAAGAATGCTGCAAATTTAAATTGTAGTGACTGTTTTTATGCTGTTAAGTCTAATTTCACATGTTTTATATTTAATATATATATATATTATATTTATTAATCAATTTTGTTTTGTAAATTCACAAACTAAAGTAAACTATGACATCGCAAATGCGTTTGATTCAAATTACAAATTTTAAAACAGGCAGTATCTCTATCGTTAATATAAAACATCTCTTGCTTTGAAGTGTGATTGGCGAATTAGTGGCATTAGTATATAAATGTACCCCTACCCGGCAAAGATTTGTAACAGGGATGTATTTTAACAGCGAGTTGAAGGAAAGAACAGTGTCTACACCTAGTCTGATGTAGCTACCAAAACGACTGCCAAGGTTTAGTCTACTCTAAAGTATTTTACATTATTTTTGCTTTAAAAACATCTTAAAGTGTGATGGGTTCAAAGCAATGCACTATTTCTCTAGTCTAGCGCCTGTCAAGTCAATTAGGACCCTAATAGAGATATCGGACTGTACAAACGCTATACCTCAGTGATAAACGAGCTTTTTAATCAAGTGAACAACTTCTCAAAATTATTTTCACATTTTTAAGGAACAACACTCGTTTGATCTGTTTTAGCGGATTGTTTGGAACCAAACAATGCCCCTTAATTTTATACTACCTGTGATTATCTCCCACTTGAGTATTACTACACCAAATGTTAAGTATATATACAAATTTAGTTATATATAATGTTAAATTTGGTTAAAATCACCAGCGCGTAGCAGTGCATCAAGTTATTGCTTTTTCCAAGTTTTCAACACTAGCGGAGAGCCTGGAGAAATAGATACTAGGGGTGGGCATAGAGATTTCATTTGCGATACTATCAAGCGCCATATTTTCAAAATGTCAACCTCCATTGGACTGAGCCACATCTTGTCTTGCATCTTGTCAAGATTACGTTAGAATACCGAACGATAACTATACATCAGAGAGTGTCTGGAGATTGTTTTCCGTTTCTTGATGTGCTGATGGAGTTAACGGGATAAGTATAGAAATCTTTCAGCATGCTCTTTACTGTTTCTGTAATTGATGGCGGACCAGTAAATTTCTGACAGCTCCGTGCCGTGATTGCTTTAGTCTCTTCAGAGGTGTTAAGGGTCTGCGAAAAAGAATAGCGAACTTCTGAAAGTACCCGCTCGTGTTGCTAACTTTCTGACAGTTGTTGTCGGGTGGTTGCCATGGTGTTATTTTAACACAACAAATTCTCACTCAAAGTGACAATATAATGATTCTAGCTGCAGACGCTAGACCACGTGGCGAGGGGAACAGATACTAAAACCCCTTTGATTAACATTCTCCACCATTCTGGCGTAGCCCTTGTCAGAGTTACTTACCAAGGCCCATAGCAGTTTTAAGTGCGCATACAACAATTCATTATCTGGATTGGAGTCTAAACGTGTCAGAATTCAGACAATAGCAACCGACTTATTTGAAAATATGTTGTAGTTTTCATTTTGTTAATGTTCAGATGCATTGAATAATCATTTTACATGTGTGTTGGTGGAATAAGTTCACTTGCATTATCATATAAGGAGATGCGCGTTTATAAAAGGAAACTTTGTAGCAAACAATATTCGATGTTGATATAATCTAATCATGATGCAAGTGAAATTATTCCATCAACATTTGAAATGCAACGACAAGATTTTTTTCATTTTGAATAAAAATGATGTTCATCCTTAATTATAAACATATTTATGAGTTGTTAATTGTTTGACTTATCACATTATAATGTATTGTATTATAAACAAAACATGTTTCCTGTTCGGCAATACGATATCTTCAATCTTTCCATTTCGTGTAGAGTTCTATTTCATAACATATTAACATTTGTAATAATATGTATAATTGTTTTATTATAGACTACTTCTGTTAAAGGGAATGCGAAGTTTTGTCCCTTAAACTTGATAATAAGTTAGAATAAAGATATATCTTTCAATCCAACTTAGTTTTATTGTTCTATCATTATCCTTTTAATTGTTATTAAGCCCCGGGTTTTGCATATGAACTGGACCACGGAGCTGCCATTTCAACCGTAAAGTGGTTCTTTGCGACATTGTTATGACGTCATTGATGCCAGATTGATGCCTTGGCATTTTAAAAGTTTTGTGGCGCCATTTTTGAATCAAAAAATGAATGCCGAGTTGTTGCCATTCCAAAGCCAAAGAAATCATTTCAATGGAACTAAAAAAATACGTATATACCACCCATAATAAAGAACGATTTCAATAGAATATTAACGCCGGCATTTTCGGAATTGCTTTTTACCTATCTAGACATGGAATGCGGGTTAGATTTGTTCTTTATTTACGCTTGAAACAATCTGGGATTCGTGACTTTTTAACTTTTATAAGGTCTAGCGCTAAATGCGAACAGAGAATGCTAATTCTATCAGGCGAATGCAAACTATTTGAATAAAACATAATAAAATTAATTCAACCAACCCGTCTTGAATTTCCAAGAATGCAATGGTTTAATTTGCTAGTCTCATTACAAAAATACGTCTTCGTACTTTAATATTCATTGCATTTATGTTTATCTTTAACACATGTATTCAAAAAAATTAAAATTTAAAATTAAATTTTAAAACCGTATTCAATTACTATCATGGATTCTTAGCCTCATGTCACATTTTTACGGGGACCGTACGGTCTATCATTTCTGTGGTAAGTAGGACTCTTGCCTAAGTATTTCTGCAGTCAGATAATTTAGCAGTCACATTTGCTAAGATAGCCGAACGACGTATCTTGATTATGAGGAAAAACTACGATTCCCGTACGGCTGATAAATGATGACGCACGATCAGCGTAGGGCGGCCCTACGACGTGCGTAGTTTTTCTTGAAGGCATCCACAAGGGGTTCTATGGTTCGGAAAGGTCAATTGTAACCTATGAAGTCCAAGCGCAGCCGCAAGTCGACCGTGAATCCGACGTACGGCCGTCGTGAGACCTACGGTTTGGCTGCTGCTTGTTGATATCTATGGTGACCAAAGTTATAACTCCGACTCTACGCCTTGTAAAAACTGGATATGTCGTGTACGTAGACAGCAAGGTGACCTTAAGTCGACTGTAGTTTTCCTATGTTTGCAGCTGAAATTTACTGATTTCAGGGAAATACGATCGACGTGTGGTCGCATTGAACAAATGTGACTGAAGCTTTTAAAGTTCCACTTATTTTCCGATATAGAAAAACAAAAGGTTGTATGCCATTAAATTGAAAATCATTATACTGTAGAACTGGTACTTACCACGGATGTTATATAATTAAATTCGAGCTCGAAATCAGGAATTGTTTTTAAAAATAAATATATAATAAAATAAATATTAAACTATTGGCGTACTATCAATACGGCAATTGCCTTATCGTCGTTGAATTGAAATATCATACTAAAATCGACCCCATCGTCTCCCCGCATCACTGAATGTTATGAGCCTTCTCTTGTCATGATCCAAGGTGAAATACCATTGAATTTTGAAAAGCTATTTTGTCATATTGAATGTCGCTACGGTGATATGATGATTGAAATTGTTCGTTTAACAACTGAAAAAAATTAAACATTACGTATTATTCTTTGAAAATATGACAGTGGCATGTCCTTGTAAAGCTATTGCCAATCTTAATATTTAGGAGATTGGCATTTACATACGTATCATTTAGACGACATCGATTTTTCGTTTTTTTGTTTGCGTTTTTCATTAGCATTTAAATGGCTAAACACTTTAGGGAGTTACTGTTTCATTGGATTACTACTTTTTGTTTTGTTTCTTTCATTCTCCAATATGCACCTATTCATATTTAAATAGAATACTACAGATTGAAGAATTCTACCATTTATGATTAGGTAAGAAAGCAATTGCGGCAGTATGCTTATTTGCCGACGTAAACCTTAAGATTAATAATGATGTGCCGTAAATGCTCATCAGCGCATTAATGAACATTAGCATAGATTTCGATATTTTAAATGGTATGTCGTGTATTTACATAAATATGGTAAATGCAACTATTTGTTGGATGCGTTCAGCCGATGATATAACTTACTTATTTTCACCAC